TTCTTCCCCATACTGATGCTCGGTTTGAACTGCAGGAGATTGTCTTGACCATGTCTACATGCCTAAATGCACTGAGTTGCTGCCATGTGATTGGCTGCTTAGAAATTAAGTGTTAACGAGCAGTTGGACAGGTGTACCTAATAAAGTGGCCGGTGAGTGTATAATACAAATCATTTTTTTAGGCTACGTTGCTTTTAAGGTGTCCACAAGGGGGCAGTGTAGCTCAGTGTGTACAAAGCCACATTTACTTGAACGAAGCAGAATTCAATCTCAAGGCACTTTACAGTTCACCAAATCATCCAGTCAAATTGAATCAAAAGTTTTCTATCTAAGGAAAAGCAGTTGATTGCATCAACTCATTGTCCTGAAGGCAATCCCTCACACTAAGCAAGCTTGTAACGAAAGTGGAGAGGAAAAGTTGTGAAAGCTGCAGAAAAGCATATTGAAGTGAGAGATTTTAACTGGGAAATGGTTGAAAGTATGATGGGAAAATAAGTTGGACAATCAGAAACTGGCAGAGCGATTTAAAGATAAATGATAAATTATGAGGACGAATGTGATTAAATATTTGTTTGTTGAAAGTTATCTATCTAGATCTATATATAGATCTACATATATAATTTTTCTTTTGGGGGGTCGCTTCCTGTTTCTTTGTCGAACTCCTTATCAGGTAGTGGCGGAAATGCACTTTATCTAGTTTGCCAATCGCCATAAAACCTTGCATGAAGAAGGAGAAAAAGAAGAGCTTAGGTTTCCGAGTCGTCATTAAACGCAGCACCAGTTTTTCTCCAGGTGAGACAGACACGCCCCACTCTGAGCACACAGGTGGGAGAAACTCCGCAGGTTCCACTAGTTTGAAGGTAGTCCGGAGGCTGAGAAAAAAACAAGTTTAGAAATAACCTCCTCACATTTCCACATCTTTAAACTTTTTTTTTTTCCTTCATTTTTATAGAGCAAGAAGGTGTGTTACCTGCGCGGCGGACTGACCGTTTAATCTCAAACTAATTTTCTTTTTGTTTTGATCTGAACTGAGGGATTTATAACAGATCAGAGGAGTTGATGGTAGGTAAAGCATAAATGATTAAATACCAGCTACAGTGGAACCGTTAAAATGTGGCCGTTGTTGAATTTAACCTGATTAATGTCTGACAGGATCGATATGATACACTGGAGCTGGAGGTTGAAGATGGAGGAAACGTCGCAGTATGTAACTGTTTGTGCTTTGAATGTGTGAAGCTAACGTTCTTCAACTTCCTGGATTAAAGAAAAACAACAAAACATAAACTTAACATTTAGTTTACTTACCTTCACTCAGAGACACGATAGACTGGTAACAGAATTGGGTGTAACACCCGTTACCTGCTGGGCATGTACACATTGGGAAAAAGCTGCTGATAGCACCAGAATAATTCACCTGGAGTTTCCAGCAGTGTTTCTGACAACCTTTGTTCTTGTTGCTATTCTCAGAGAAATGTTTATTAAAAATCAAGATATTTATATTAATGATATGTGACACTAAGTGAGCTTGTTTTAAACCTGCTTTGACTTATAGATGCCACCAATGTATAAAGAAACCCCTTCAGTTCAAAATAGTTAAAATTTGTAAATGCGATAAGAATTTTATTTTATTTCTTTTATTATGTGGCCTTACATTTCTTTTTGTCTCTGTAAGAAAAAGTTTGAGGACCACTCTGTAGAGGAAACTCATTTCAGCTCCTATTGATATTTGAAGGCCACATGTGGCACAGATGATTTCCTGGAATAACAGAGTTGCTTTCAGACTGTAACCCATATTTATATAGAAAAAGCTAAACAGATACTCACTCCTAGTGCAAAGGAAGTATTCAATTACTGAACATTGTTATTGGGACACTCAACCAGTCAATGCAATCAATATACTAGAGATTTAAAATAGGGCTGAAACAATTAATTGTGATTAATCGATTATTAAAATAATCCTCAACTAATTTAATAATTGATTAATTGGTAGCTGGAGTATAGAGAGTGTAAGAAGTGTCTTTAGCCTACAGAGCGACCCACTTGGATCAGGAATTGTACCAAGATGGGTAAAAAAATACATAAATATTTTGCATTTAAGGTAAAAAAAAAAAAAAAAACTTTTTCTCCTGTCAACATGCTCTATCCAGAACTCCACAAGTAGAAAAGTTTTAGCTTTACCTTTCATTAATCGCTTATTAATCATTATAATCATTGGTGGCAGTCCTGATATAATTATAGCATTGATCTACTACCATCTGTTCCTCAAGTTGGAACGTGAAATTCAGGTTCAGAGCTGTCATCAGTAGTTCCATTAAAACATGTGAAGCTCATTAGAGATCTGACTCATAATTAACGTCAGGATTATTCTGCTCTCCTTGATTTTAGCAAAAAGCATCACTTTTTGGAGGGATGTTCAAGAAACCATCAAAAACTACAGAACCATCTGCTAAAGCACAGGTAACACATTGAACATAATTATTTATTGTTTTATTATTTTAATCTGGAACTGCATCACAGCACTGAACCATTAAGCTTCTGAAATGTAAGATAATTATATGTGTATGTCTGTGATACAGTTTAATGTCAGCTTTTTTAGGTTTTTCCATTGATCTATAACAGAGTTCATGGAATAGTGGACCGGTTTCCAGATACGGAACCACCTGCCAACCCAACCCAACCTGATTTAAAACATTTATAAATTACCGCATGTTGTCCGATGACAGCGTCTAATTTTACTTGCGCTGCTTTACTGTTAATATGGTAAAGCCACGTGTCACCAGGCCACACGTGATCCAAATTAGCCAATGAGCTGCTGTCAGTCTGGGTTGCTGCTGCTGCTACTTTTAGACACAGCAGGCAAACCTGTGGCAAGCCGGGCGATGGGAAAGAAGGAGAAGATGATGAAGAGAGCAGAGAAAGTGTGGACTGCTGGAAGAACTGTGGTGAACTGGTGACAGAAAAGTGAAATGGTGCTCTAAGATGACCCTGCACTTTTTGAGAATGTTTTGCTCAACCTGCTGCTGTGAAGCAGGATTCTCCACCATGAACAGAATCAAAAATAAATATTGATCCAGGCTCAAAATGAGCTCCTTGATATGTGCTTTAGAATGGCTTCATTCAAACCCAGGTTTAAAGCCTTACAGGGCAGCATAAAGTCCACTGCTCTCATTAAGCTATGAAAAAGAAAAACAAACACGTCGTCAGTTCAGGTGTTTTTATAAAATATGTGAATCAGGAAATTGTCTACATACCAAACTAAATGATTGTTCTCTACTTCAAAAAATGTTTCAGATTTTAAAATGGAAAAATGTTCTTTTGTTTCTATTTTTTAATTTCAAAAATCAATGTATAACATGGATGCATAAAAACCTCATTTTATTCCAGTGTTAAATTCTGTTTAAAGTAAAGTATAATTAGAAATGTCTCTGGACGTTTACTTTTTGATGATTTTCTTTATGCAGACCCTGCTGATTTTTAATTGTTCACCCCTGAGTTTCTAAGCTCAGTTTGGTGATTTATTCACAGGCTTTAGAATGCGTTGCATCCAGAGTGCCTCACAAAACCTTAACATCATTGAAACCTTTTATATTTGGCCACAGTACGATCACTTACACTCATGCATGTTTAATTCCGATTTTGGGGTTAAAACAGGAAATAATAAACAATGGAAACCAGTGTCAGCTATGGGTAGCTCAATACAACATTTCATTTCAGATACAATATTGATAACCCAGCCTTAAATACTGAACCGATACAATATCAGAATAAATTATACTGGGGTTTATTACTTATTTTAAAGTGTGGAAAGATGGAAATGGTTTGAAAAAGTTATATATCCCAGAGAACAATACTTCACATTATCTGGGATGAGAACAAC